GCTGCCGAAGAGGCGGCCGGCCCTGCTGTCGGCACCGAGTGCTGGAAAACCTCCGGCAAATATCCACGAGCTTAAGGACGGGCTGGAGGGGGGTCGCTGAGCCCATGGGAGAATGAAGGGGAGGACTGGAGGGGAAAACATGTGGTGTTTTCTGCCTTGGTTTTGCTTTGGTCTTGAAGGAGAGGTGGAAGCTTGGGGAAGGGGAGTGGCATTGAAACAGTGGGAGAGTTGCGATCGCATTGTCTTGTCGGTTCTGGTGGTGCCACGGAGGAGAGATTTAGCAAAGGAGAAAGGGGAGGAAAAGGGCGCAGCAGAGAACAGAAAGGCAAGGATCGTCGGAAAGGGGTGGCTCTGTGGTCCTTCAGAAAAGATGCGGAAAGACAGCCTTGAAAGATTTCTGGTTTGGGTTTTCCGGGCCTGGCCGGTCGTCCGTCTGAGAAGCTGGCGGTGCGGGATAGCAGCGAGTCCCCTCTGCCCCGTCCCTTGGAAATGGGGTGGCTTCGTTTATTAGTCCAGGGCCGGATCCCTGGAAGAGCCCTACAGCACGGCCCCTCGGGATGCCGGCGAGAGGACAGGGAGGTCTCGTTGCTCTAAGTGGACCCACGTGCTCATATTCCACATCTGGGTTGCTGGTCCCATCTAGCCAGCAGTAGAGATGCCCAGAAGATCTCAGCCCTGGGTCCCTCTCCTTTTCTCCGGTACTGTCTAGGGTAAGACTGGGACGAGGCAGCGAAGGTCGCAGACCCCGCTCCTGGCTTGCTGTCCTGCGTGAGATGAGACGAACGGGTCTCCATCCGCCCCCCTCGCTGCCAAAGCCTCCCCATCACCGAGCCCTTGCAGGGAACAGGCACCTGATTTGTACCCGGGGCCGTCCTTGCCTGGACCGGCCTCAAGTTGGACATCAACAGAGATGTCTTCTCCGTGGTTTACCCTCCTTATAATCCCTCCTCCTCACAGCCAGCCTGAGAGCTTCAGCCTTTGATCCTCCTCCTCTTTTGCAAACACTTCTCCCCGCTCGCGGAATTAAATCTCTCTCGCAGTGTTTTCCTTCCCTATCTTTTCTTTTTGGCTGAGTCTGTCTGAAATTATTTTTTTTTTCCCTCCTCCTTCGGCAGCAGGGCTATATAATTGATGGCCTCGCCAAGCTTTCCGAGCTGAACATTAAACCCTTCCTGCCTTGGCTCCGACCGGAGTTCATTACTTTCTGAAAAGCTTCGTTGTCTGTTTGTGCTCAGATGACTGTTGTTGTGGAGGGGAGGATATTGTCAGCAGAGAGAGAGGAGGAGGAGCTGGATTTGGCCAGGACTGCTTTGTAATCAAATCCCGCTCTCCTTCCCTTTAGCAAATTTTCGAGTGGAAAAGGCCTATTTTAGCAAAATGAAAACACCGGCACCCTCCCGAAGGCAGGAGCGCAGAGCTCGGGCCCCTCGTTGGCGTGCCACAAAAGCTCGTCTCTCTCTTGGGGAGCGGTAGGAAAACGCTGCTTTGCCCATCGCCTGCGAGAGCGACGCTCAGCCCCCGGCGGGTGGGAGCAGGGGGCCACTCTGGTGGCCGCGGGCTTCGTACCTGGGGTTCTCGGTGAACCTGTCGCGGTCATTCCTCCCAAACTTTTCCATCCCGGGAGCTGCTGGGGGAAGGGGAGGCCCACGCGGTGCCAGCAGGGTCCCTCCGGCACCGTGAGTTCCTTATTTCGGTGCCGGGGGTCGCCGGGCGGGTGTGTTTTTGCACGATGCCGGTGGCTTTCGGCATCTTTCGGCCTTTTCTGGCGAGACGAAGCAGAAGCTCTTCTTGTGGTTTGCCCTCCGCCGATGCTTCTTCTGGCTCCCCGTCTACCTCCGTGGCTTTTCAGCACTTAAAACACAGCGAGGCTGAGGTGATTACAAGGATTGGAGATGCAGTGACACTTCCCTGCCAACAAGTAATTGATTTATTAAAGACATTACAATACATTCATGGTTGAGCGTAAGAGTTTCCTTTGAACTCGCTCAAAAATCCAAAGGGATTGTGCCTGTTTGCGAGTACCGCGGGCAGAATAAATCTGCGCTCCCCCATCGCCTTCCCCCCCGCGCCGCCGCAATTTCATTTCCCTTTGACTGGCGCGAGTAAATATCACAGCCTGACAACTCCAGTCCAGTGACCGGTGTGATCCAATTTAATAGCATTTAAAAATTCAAAGTGATTGTTAGCCAAATGGAAATGTAAGATTTCATACCCAGCCTGCCTTGGGGAGGAAAGGAAGAATGAGGGAGGGTGCGGGGGATGTAGACAAATGGACTAGATAAAAAATAATGGAAAGTAACTTAATTAAAGAGGCTCAAGCAAAGTTAAAAACAGTAATGATTTTGAATCGGAGAACCGCAGGTTTTAAAAATGAAAGGGGAAAAGGAAAGAAAGGAAAGGAAACTGTGGATAAAGAGCCTCCAGAATGATTAAATGGGAGGAGAAGGCGGGGTAAAAATAGCCCTTCTGTGAAAAGCAGGAGCACGTGGGGAATAGACGGCGCCGTTGGTGAAGCTGGGCATTAGAAAGACAAAGAAGGAAATTAAAGGATGCTCTGGGGGGAGATAACTCCCTGCGGCTTTTCTGGCGAGGGTGGCCGAGAAGGCAGCTCGAGGGCTTCGGGTAGGAGAAGCGGGAAGCGTAGGAGCGGTCCTCGTGGAAAAGGAGAACGGCCCCTGCGTAGTGCGGGCACGCCGATATCCCTGCCTCGGTTAGCATCGCCGCCTCCTTTTCCTTTCCTTCTGTCTCTGTCAAACACAGCCTGTTTGGGTTGAAATTTGGTAATGACGTTTTTTAATTGCCCCTCTGCGTACGCGGCTGTCCTGCTGTGCTCTCTACAGCCCAATGACTAATCTTGAACCGCGGCGCTCTCGTCTCGTGCGGCCCATTGGCAATACCTGGCCTGGCAGCCGTCCCCACTGTCCCCGGTGCCTTTTCCGTGGCTCCCCGAGCGCCGCAGAGCCTGCAAAGCAGGTGCTGGCGGAGCACTGATCCGAACGGGTGCTTTTGGGCCATTAGTTCGTAGGGCCTCATTTCTCCATCCGTAAAGTGGGGATAATGACGCTCCCTTATCTCACCGGGGTGTTTTAACGATAGGGTTATGAACGCCGGCGCCGCTGGCAGACCCCGGGAGGGCGGAGGCGGCGATGCGCACGGGTACCGAGAGAAGCCGAGCGCCCGCGGGAGAGGGTTGTCCTCAGAGCACGTGAGCTGGGGAGATGAATTAAGGCAGCAGAGACCCCACCTTACCTCTACCCTTGCTGAAATTTCCAAGAGCTAAACCTTGCAGAGCTAAGGCCACTCCTTTAAGGACATTTTAAAGCGTGAGAAGTGTGGCGTGCACCATGACGTGGACGTTGGTATTTGCTGTCCTGCTTGTTTCTGGCAGCTTCGGCCAAGCCTTCGGTTGATCCCCTGGTTTGGGGGCAGTTGGCGTGTTGGGTCAGGGTGGATGCTGACGAGGTGCCTTAGGTAGAGTGTGGGATTGGAAGCATTCCATGGGAGGAGCGGAGGAGGAGAGCTTGCCTTCATCTGCTGCCTCCTTTTTCACATGTTCATCGAGAGCCTCGTGGGGCAAAGGCTGTATTTTTGTGTCTTGTTGGTACAGCACCCTCTGCGGTGGGGTCTGAGGGCATCGAAGATGTAGGGGAGCTTTGGCGGGGAGGAGGGATGTAAATAGTTAGATAAATAGAGGCAAAAAGGACACAGATAGAGCCGGAAGATCCAACTAGACTTCACTTGCGGTTCAATCAAAACTCGGGGCTTTCACTCTGTTCCACATTTAACGCCACGGATCTCGACGGTTTTTGAAGTAAAAAACATCAGGCGCCCCATGTCCGTCACAGCGTGTCGGGAAGCGCCGCCCGTGGCCCTGCGAGGGCGGGCGAGCCGCCGCGCTTTCCCTGGGCGCGGGCCGCGCCGCTCCTCGAATTAGATTAGTGTCAGTGCGGAAAGTGTCATCGTAAACACTTACTTTGTGCTCGAGCCGGGGGAGAGGGAGCACGAGTGCCAGAGCGCGGAGATAAGAACAAATATGCAAGAGCACAGTGTGTTTTTAATGGAAGGGAGATTTATTTCTCTCTGTGTCTTTTTAAGCCTCTAGATAGATTGTAAAAAAAAAAAAAAAACCAGCCCAACCCACACACAACCTGTCTGCCTGAAATAGCCGAAATGTAATTTAAAGAGCATCATTTTAACTAATACTTCACTTCAGAGACACCTGCCCTGTATGCATCGGAGATGCGGGCTGCATTAGAGCATCTGATTTAGCTTTGGAAAGGATGCGCGAGCTCCTTTGTTCCCGCCCGGCTCCCCTTGGACGAGGGAGGTGGCGCAGGGCCGGTTCGGCTTGCTCGGCCCTCGGCGGGATGCCCGCTCCTGGCTGACATAGGGGGGGTGTGGGGAGACAGGGAGACATCCCCCCGCCCTCTGGGAGCAAGGTGGAGGGCAGGATCCGCGCCGTCAGCGCGGGGCACGGCCGCTCGCCCTCCGGCTGGTTTTGGGGAGAGGAGCGGAGTGTTTCGTGCCGAGTTGAGCGGGACGCCGTGCGCTGATGGAGCGGATGAGCAGTATGGTGTAAACCTGCCGCTCGTTGGGACGGGAGACTCCAGGTTGACTGGGAAGGGCTGTTTGCAGCAGGCACGCCCACTCGGGGTGCGTGCCCTAAACTAGATCCGTGCCTCTCGGCTTAGCGGAGTCCTAGCTGTGGCTAGGAGGACTGTCGCCATGCAGAAATGTCCCCACCTGCAGTTCCTGTGGCCATAGGCTCTGGGTATCTTACCGTCCTATATGCCGTTGGCTTTTCAGTAAGCCTGCGAGGAAGGGAAGTACTTGTCAGTGTGTTGGTAGAGAGGGGCGAGACCCAGCGAGACTGAGCGTTTTGCCCAGGACTGCTCTGGGATGGCTTCCAGCCGTCCTTCTGTGCAGCTCATTGACCGGCAGCAAGGAGGCTTTTCTAACAGTAAAATAAAAAAAAAAAAGAAATTCCACAAATCACGAATTTCTCCCAAGATGTGGCCCAGTGGAGGAAGGATCCAATGTCGTCCCGCATCCCTCAGGGGATGGCGGTGCAAGGGCTGGTCCCAGACAGCCGCGAGATCCCGGGCGTCTTGCTTCTGCTGAGGGACAGCTATCGAGGACGAGGGAGCACGTGGACAAGCAGGAGGAAAGACGGGGAGAGCAGAGCTGTTGTCAAATCCCTAGCTCACCCTTTCTGGTCTGAAGTTCACTTGTAATATTTTTCTCGACTCGGGTTGCTAATGCGTTTTGTTCTCCAGAGCGCGCGTGGCCCGACTTCCCGCGCAGCCTTTAATTAGTTTCTGGATGATGACATCTCCGCTGAGAATCATCTCGTCGTGTCCCTCCGATCTCGCGGGGAGATAAAGGAATCTAATAAAGACATTCAGCATTTCTAGGTGATGGGTTTGACAAGCTTGGTATTAACAAGAAGTCGTGTTCAAACTTTCTCGGGCGCCCTCGGCGCGCTGCGGCTCCTCCCCACCCCGCGGCTTTTTCCCGGGCCCGGGGGGGGGGGGCTGACGGAGCCTCCGCCGGCACCGTTTGGGACGAGAGGGGCAGAGCTGGGGACCTCGCGTCCCCGAGCAGGGGGAGACGGAGTCGCCGTCGGTTTGACGGTCACCGTGGAGGTAGCTGCGAGACAGGTGTCGTGCCTTGAGGAGAGGTGTCAGTAATGCTTGAAAGGTGATGTAGGTGTCTTAAGGTTTTGAGATCCTTCAATTTTCTGCTTTTTATGAGGCGTTGCTTGACTTGCAGGGGGGGATCCCAGGTGGCGCGGGGTGCAGAAACTGGAAACCAGATCCTCGCTCTGTGCGGCGTGCGTGGAGCTGAAAATGAGATCTGTCTAGACGGGGAGCTGAACCGTCAAACAGTCCTTGTCCGTCTGCATTTCTACATGGTTAGCAATGCAGAAACTTTATTCTTACATCTTTATGGGGTTCTTTGGGGTTTTGAGTCTTGCGGGTTTTGGGTTTTTTTTTTGAATGAGGAGTATGAAGTAGTTTATAAAGCAGCATCGTTAGACACCTTTTAGAGAAGGTAACAAAGTTCAGAGCAGTCTTCCTTCGGGCATCGTAACATGAAAGCAGAACTTGGGTCTCCCAAATCTGAGTGATGGCTTCTGCCTGCTCTATAAAGCTGCTTATTAATAGTCATGCTAAGCAAACTGTTGCTTGATTCCCCCCATGGTGTGGGCCTCGGCGTCAGGCGGTTCTTCCTTTTTGTGGTAGGAAGAAGGGTGCGGATCCCTTCAGAGCCTTGAAAGCAGGGGACCAAACCTAGCCAGGCAGCACCCTGGCTCCTCAGGGTAGCGGCGGTTTGGATCCGGGTTGGTGACCCGGACCCATCCGAAAGTCAGGAAGAAGTCCTTGCACCAGAGACGTGCCTCTCCTTTCGTGGCCCGTTTATTCTGGCGTATCCCTCGTTGACTGCGGTAGGAGCGCTGCTGATTTATGCTGTCGTAAGGAGAATCAGATTGGGCCCCCTTTTGGCACTTAGCTATAAAGTTTATCTGCAGAAACCCTGCTGCTTCTGCGGTGAATTATACCCGCGTTCACAAATACTTTACTAATGAATGATTGGAAACGTCTTGTTTCCCCCCTCCTCCTCTGAATTATGATGATGCTGTGCCGTATAACCTGCTGCAGAGACGGGCGTAAAAAATCTTGTGTCCTCCAAGCTCGGGAGAGCTTTGCTGCAACAGGAGCCGTTACCTACTTGGGAAATCATTTAGACACATCTCGGCACCGTATGACACATCTCATTACGCCTTGCTTTAAAACGAGCGATTGCCATTAGTTATTTATTAATGGCTTATTAAGGTCGTTACGTACGTCCTCTTCATTTCCAGGCTGCTTTCTTCACGTCTTCAGCTGCCGCCGGCTTTGCGCGGAGCGGGGTCGGTCCCTCGGCCGA